CAACACTGCAAATGACTTACACAAAGGGAAACTGTTGCAGCGGAGACATGCGGGGATGTGGTGAAAGGAAATGAATGGTGACAGATGGTTTAGTATACTGGCATGATGTGGTAAATATGTTGGAAAGGATATGTTTACAGGACTCAGGCTAACACACCGATAGATCAGACTCACAATTTCTTTTTTATCTACATCGTGCCTTTTAATAATGTCACCACAAAGTTAAATGTCTCTAAAAAGTGTCACAGTGGTGTTTTTCAGTTTGTGTTCATTTCATTGTCTTTGTGTCTCAGCTGATCTAACCATGGGGAAGGAGAGTCTGCCCAGCTGGGCTCACCAGGACTCTGACGAGGGTCTCGTCCACGTGAACGTCGGAGGTCTGAAGAGGAGCCTCTGTTCCAGCACGCTGAAGAAATTCCCAGACACCAGACTGGGAAAGCTGCTGGCATGTGACTCAGAGGAGGCCATACTGCAGGTGTTTGGGCGTGAGTGGGATACGACTGACACGAGACGTGATGGATTTTTGCTTGACTTACTAAAAGCCCACCCGCTTCTCTTCTTCTTCACTCTTCCTCTGTCGTGTTCCCACCTTTCCTGCTATAGGTGTGTGACGACTATGATGTGCAGGAGAAGGAGTTTTACTTTGACAGGAATCCCGGCCTGTTCCCTTACGTCATCCACTTCTACCAAACTGGCAAACTTCACATCATGGAGGAGCTGTGCGTCTTCTCCTTCAGGTCTGACTGAGCAACATTCATTTTAACATCCTCATCCCTCTGCATCCCAGAGAACCTTTACACCTGTCATACCAATCTAGCTATAACCAATTGTGGACGTTTGTGACTCAAACAAAGGTTTTAGTCAGTTCAGTTTTTCTTGGTTTAGCTCATCTGACCTGTAATCAGACACAGCAGCTGCTAACGGACTCCACTGTTCATTGTTGCTTTGCATAAAAAACTTTAAAGCCTAAAAGCATAAACAGTAAAATGAATTCATCAACTCTACACAATCGTGTAAAATTTAACCCTTTAAGACCTACCATAGAACCAAGTCCGCCAGAGGACATGGCGGACATGCGATAGTTCGCGCTGATGGACGTAGGAAGTGTTA